GAGAGAATTGGGGGGAGAAGGCTACGCGGCGGGTCCCACCCGGGAGAATGGGGTGACTCCCTCAAAACCGTACACAGGGGCTTTGAGGAAGTATTGGAGGCTTAACCTACGTCCCTGAAGCTGGCGGGACACAGTGGGCTGGAGCCTGGCTGAGTCTGGAGGGAGAGCCTGGTGGGTCAGCCACCCTGATGGCCGAGCAAGGAGAGGCGGCCGCCCGGGGACCAGCTTGCGCTCAGAGTTGGTGGGCAGGGGGCTCACAGCGTTTCCAGATGGCGGGATGAGGCCCGTTCAGCAGAAGGAGGGAGCAGGGGGGCCAGGTAGAGAGTGAGGCGACCCTAGTAGGACGCGACCGTAGAGTCCAGGAGCCAAGGCAAGAGTGGAGAGTGGCCAGCCAGCGGGGATGCACCCAGCAGAAGGGACTGCGGTGAGACCCCGGCTGGACTGGGGCCGAGCTGGGGACGGTGGGGGGGGGGGGGGCGCGGGCTGGACGGTCTGGGAGAACCACTGAAGGCATCGCACGAGAAAGAAGCTGCTGGAACTTAAGCGGGGCCGAGAGAGAGAGGCCGATGCACTGCCGCTGGTGGTCCTGGAGCAGCTCCCGGCTCCCTGACCTTCTCCCTCATCCCCGCTGCCTCACCCCTCTCCGCGGTAGGCAGGAATCCGAGCCACAGCTGGGGGTGGGCCAGCTGGGGGGCACCTCGCCCCTGCTGCCCTCAGCCCGCGGTCCGTGCCAGGGGGAGGGGAGGGCGAAGTTTTCCTGTGCAATGAACTGTGGAGCTTTTGATTATCACACTTGCCTGGCCACATAAATCACTGAAATGAGCTGGTGTTCTGAGATTTAAATGACTGGGACGTTTCTCACGTCTAAATGTGATCAGGAAAGTCACGGGCCCCTGATTTTTCCCCGCTGAAAGCTCTAAGGGGAGGCTGCTGGGAGAATGCACGTCCCCGCCCGCCCGCTATGGTCCGGGCTTGTCCGTCCTCACAGGTGCGCCGCTGACCGCGTCCTCCACCCTCTGCATCCGCTCCTTGAGGGCAGGAGCCACACTCACACCTGTCGGCTCCTAGGATTTGGGGCAGCGCTGGGCGCACAGGGGGCACCGTGGAGCTTGGGGGACGGACCCAAATGCCATTCCGTGGCGCTTCATTTCTGTTTCTTTGTCCCCAGTTTTGTCAGTTGGAGCCCCTCGCCTCTGTGCCTGGAAGGAGTTGCAGGTGTGTGTGAGGAGAGAGTGGTCACCCACAGGGCTCCGGCGCAGCTCGGGGGTCCCTCAGGTGAGTCCGGCGGGGCTGACAGGCAACACCGGTTCCCTTCATCCGCGAGCACCCCTTCATCCCAGCAGCATCCCTCCCACCTCCCTGCTCGAAGTAGTTTTTTCCAGTCTGTCCCCCAGCGGACACCCCGCTTCCCCGTCACCTTCCCCGTCACCTCTTTCTTACCTACGCGAGTTACATTTGACATCGCTTCTTCCATCTTCGTTCACTGAGAATTCCACACACGTGGTGATACCGGCGTCCCTACATCTACGTCACTACGCCTGTGTTACAGGCATCACGGCGGAATGAGGATGCAGGGACCGCCACCTGGCTTCCTCTGAACCACTGCCACGTGCGTCGTCCCCATGTCGCTCCAGACTCTGGGGACGCCGAGCTCCGGGACCCGTCAGCCTCCAAGGTGGGACTCGATTCAGCCACGGGGCAACAGCTAAGTCATTTTGCTGAATACCTGAAACTAACGGCACATTGTAAATCAACGCTATTTCAATAAAAGCAAGTTAAAGTAAGTGATGGGGACAGAGTTAGGAGGTGAGAAAAATTGTCTGATGCCAAAAAGCACCTGAGCTGAACTGGAAAGAAGGTGTTTCTGAGGAACTTGGTCAGAAAACGTGGCAGGCAGTCTTCGGGCTTGGGTTGTGTGTCTGCAGCTGTGACACGTGGTCATGACCGCCTGCACCGTTATTTGGAGACTCAGGCGAGACTAAAAATGTCTAATAAGGTGTGCTTCATGTTGATAAGACTCTGGAAGCAAGAAGAGAGTTCTATTGTTTAGTCTGGCAGAAATTACGAAAGCAGCCACAGCCGAAAACCACGCGCCTGATGCTTTGAGCTACGCACACGGAACGCTCTTAAGTCCATAGCGTTTGGTAACGGGGCGATTACTTGCGGTATGTGAATGGAATGATTTCCTCTTGGCCAGAGAATACACGAGGAAGGGAGATTACCCGCCTTATGGAGTATTTGCTGTGTCCCCCTCTGTGGATGGGCCCACCGCTATCCCTTCACTTCCTCCATCGAATACAAACCCTGTCACACACCTTGCCAACCACTCCTCACCTGTGGCATCGTTCCTCGGAGGCGCGCAGAGGATGGCCCAGGCGGAGGTGGGACCACAGGAGAGGCAGGAACCCCCAACCCACTCTCTCCGCATCCCAGTTCCGGGATCCAGGCCAGGCAGCACAGGGGCTCTGCCTGTGGCCCTCTCCCCTCTCAGAGGGAGGACAGGTGCGGAGTTGAGAAACCGAGGGCTACGGGCGCTCCCCTTAGCTTCTGCCCTGGCGCAGGGCAGGCACCGGGGTGCCCTCTTCCACTTGGGGTACCTGCCAGGGATTCCCAGTCCCCCCCAGGACTGCAGACTTCTCCTTCTTCAAGCCTCGCACGGTCTCTGCTTTCCCCCAACAGAAGACCTCGGCACCGTGACCTCAGGGCCACGCAGAAGATGCCTGCCCTTCCAGATCCTTCAGTGGGGGGCACAGGCTTTCATTCCTGCAGCAGAGCTTCCCCGCCTCTGTGCCAGTTGTCAGTGTATCGACAGACGGGTGCCCTCAGGTGTCGGGCACCTCGGCAGGGCCTGGAGCCTCCCTCCTCTTCACTCTCCACAGTCCCTGAGATGTACAGGTATTACCATTCCCTGTGACAGCCGTGACGTGCAGACAGTCTGAATGCAGCAGAGCGTCCTAGCGAGGAGATTCTGGTGAGGATGGGCCCAGTTCCGCCAGAGGCATCTCCGCCCCTCAGCTTTTTAGCCAGAGCATCACTACACGCCGGAGGGGCGGCCGGGTGCAGGGCTGGGGGCTCTGCCCCATGCCCGGGTCGCCGGGCGGACCTGAGCCCTGTGGTCCCCACTGAGCTTTTGAAGTGGAAGGTCCCCCATTCTTCTAACCACTCCAGAATATCCTCCCTGTGGCCGCTTCTCTTCTTCTCCAGTTTCACCCAAGGGTAGAGTTGCCCTCAGCCCATCATGCCCTCGCCCTTCTCTGGCCCTGTGCTGGGAACTCAGAAGCAGGTGTGGGAGCCCGTGGCTGTGCCCTTAGCCCTGGTCGCAGGGGACACGGCCTCTCGTTAGCACGCCGCAGGAAGACTCCAGAACTGACACCCACACTCGGCTTTGGGGGGTTTACAAAACACATCCTGCCCCCCAAAATTGCAGGGATATTTTAAAATTCAAATGGGTTATATTTTCTATGCAAGAGCTACGTCGCTTTCCCCAAAGGTGTTTTCAGGCATTTGAAAAACGTTAGCTGGTGAGTCAGAAGTCTCCTTTTACTCTTTCTGTTTTCTCTGGCTCTGAAAATATATACGTATGTATACACAAGCACACGTCACGCTTGGAGGCGTATCTTCTAGGCTGTAAGAGTGTGGCGGTTGGAATCCTGGTGCCCGGAAGAGATGGGTCTGTGCTCTGCATCCCAGCACAGCGTTTAGCGCATTGTGACGTACGGAGCGTCTGTTCCGTACGTGCACCCTCGTCTTCCCCTGTGCTCGCTGACCTGACCCGCGAGGCCGCTGGGCTGACTTCCCGCGCTCGCGTCACGTGCTTGGAGAGTTCCCAAGGCCGGCAAGTCAAATGTTGCGGCCAGGTCATCGCCTATTTCCAGCAAAATGAGTTCATATCCATTTAGGCCCGTTTTACTGCTCTTTGTTATAACTATTGCCAAGGAGAAACGAGCAGGTTTGGGTACCACAAGGCAAAATAATATTTGAAATTTTAACATATGCTTGTTTCTTAATATTGTAAGCACCCTATTGTGACTTGGGGACTTTTTGTGTTAGTCTTCGATCCTTCTCCCACAGAGTCCGGGAGGACTGGGTGCCCTGGCCTTGGCCGCCGGATGCGCGGTCTCACTCCCTGTGCACAGAGGCGGTATCCTTTGCACCCGGCGGGGCTGAGTGGAGGCTCCAAGCTCGTGTGGCCTGAGACATTCCATCGCAGAGGCTCTCCTAGCAACATGGCAACGCCAGCAAACCCAACAATGACCTTTTGTCGTTAGCTCTATAAAGCCTGTGGCATGAGTCTCACCAGAAAATTCAAAGGATATTTTGCAAGCGAAGAGCGATTTCCAGCTGAAGCTTTGAATCGGTTGCTTTTCCTCCAATCTGCAAATATCAAACTGGACCGGCACCAGATGGTCGCTTCAAGAGCAGGACGGACCCAAAGAGGTGAGTCTGGACCGTCCCAGTCCTGGCTCTGGTTAGGGAACCACCTGTGTACCACCGGCAAGTCACTTAACTCTCTAGATCTCCACGCATGAGCAACTGCTCCTTGGCAGTGCAGGGTACTCGCTAACCGTCCAGATTCCTGGGCTGACACCCGTTCTCCTGCTGCATCAGAATCTCTGGGGCTGTGCTCCACAAACGTGACTTTCAACCAAAGGCAAATAGATGACATTGCTGAACAATCGTAAAAGTGCTTAGGTAACTAGCTTTCTAATTTGTTTACTTGGCGTAAAGAGGGCCCACGCACCCTTAGAATTGGCCTGTTGTGTATATGGTAGGGAGCGTGTTTTTCTCTAATAGATTTTATAAAGGACTAAACCAACCCATTTTCTTTGCTGTTTCTGATTAGCTATCCTCTATAACAGACTATAAATCATGCACCCCTATCAGGAAAACACTTTAGAGCATGTGTTTCCAATATTGGCACTTTCAAAATATTGAATATTAATATCTGTATTTATTTATATACTGTATTGTGCTTTAGTAGGGACATATTTGAATATGTTCCTAATATTAAAAAAATGTTTTTAAAGGAAAAACGTTGAAATAAGCTTTAAGATTTTGATCAGTGAAATTTTTGGTTTAGTACTTTGTGATACAGTGAGATGAAAACCAGTTTGTAAACAACAGAGATTTACTGTATAGCACAGGGAACTGTATTCAGTATCTTGTAATAAATTATAATGGAAAATAGAAAAAGAATATATATATATGTATGTATAACCGAATCACTTGGCTGTACACCTGAAACTAACACAATATTGTAAATCAACTCCAATAAAACAAACAAGAACAAATTTCTGATGTTGGTTTTGAATTTGCTATCTTTTATTACTTAGTTATAATAAATGAAAACATGCTTCACAAAGATACGTAGATTTAAGTGGAAGAAGCACCCTTTTTCCTGCACTTACTAAATTATGATACTGATCTTTTAATTCCCTCCGCTAATTGTCCCAAGGTTTCTTATGGGCTAGTAAATTTCCATTTTTTCTGAATGTCAAATTGATGTTGTTGAAAATTAGAAAGTGTGGCACTGTTTTACATTTCTAACAAACATATTTAAAACGTGATAAAATTCTTCATTTGGAACAACTGGGGGCAGGTTCGAAAATTCTGTTTCCAGAGTTTTCATGTTTGCAGATATGAGTTTTTACATTGTTTGTGACAGTAAAAGCCGTGTAAATCAGAAACATTCTCAAACATCCAGTTTCAAAATGCTTTTTCCGTAGCACGAATTTCTTTCAAAAGTTATTCCTTCCTCACTCATTTTAACATCATTTTCGCAAATGGACAGATTAAACGTATTTACTTTTTGGAAATGTCTGCCAGACTGTGTGTCAACCCCTTATAACCACACCCCCAAAAAGCCAGCACATTTGGAACATTTGTATTTGTAAAAGAATAATGACCATTTCAAATTTAATCACGTTTTTAAGCGCTTTGCCATCAGATATCTTACAACCATCCGAGGGCACAAGAGATTTTCATGGTCATTCCCCTATTTCTTTCTTTTATGACATCCGGTAGCATTTGGGGGGTCTCTGGTTCAGTGTTTTTGCTGCAGTGACATCCTTGTGACATCCTTGTGATGCTGTCAACGAACGTCCAGGGAGGGACCAGTTCTGGGCGTTTTCCTCGGTGTCCTTTCTTTTTTTTAATTCTGCCAAAGCTGCCACTCCGTGAGTGATTATACTTATATGGATACCACCCCACTCCCACTTCTTTTTTTTTTCTTTCTATCTTTATCTTCTCCTTCCAATTTTATTGAGATATACTTGACATACATCACTGTGTAAGCTTAAGGTGTACGGCATCATCATGTGACTTACATCCATCATGAAAGGATAATCGCAATAAGTTTAGTGAACATCCGTCATCTCCTACAGATAAAAAATCAAAGAAATAGAAAAACAATTTTTTTTCCTTGCGATGAGAACTTGTGTTAGGATTGACTCTCTTAACAAATTTCCTATATAACGCACAGCAGTGTTGATTCTACTTATCATGTTGTACGTTGCATCCCTAGGACTTATTTATCTTAAAACTGGGAGTTTGTACTTTTTGACCACCTTCATCTAATTAAAGAAGCCATACTTTGATGAGCATGTATCTTTGTCTGGTGCGTCTTTTCTTTGGCAGCCCATATGAAAGCATTTCTGCAGGTATTTCATTATTGAAACAATCCAGCCGCTCAATTATGGAGTCGTGTTAGAAGGCTTTCAACGTTCATTCTTGCGGCAATCAGCCCACAGTTTGTAATTTTTTCTAACACTTTGCTTGTGTCTTCTAAAGGGTTTTCTAACTAAAGAGAGCGCTTTCATTTTCCATTATTGCTTTATGTAAATTAGTTCTCTGCTGCAGTTTCTCTAACAGTGTATTTGCTATTAGATAAGAAATCTCAAAAGTAGCTTCTAAATATTATAAAAATTTCGTAAATTATTTTAAAATCCTGGATGGAGAATCACACAACCATACACTTCAAACAAAACAAGAGGCTTAGTTTTTTATATTCTGGAATTTTGATTTTAAATTGCTTGCTAACCATGATAATTTTGTTCTGTCATCTTCTAATATAGCAAAGGAACGCTATACACTTAGGTCAGTGTTCATTGTTAACAATAATAGGTGTAAAAAGCTGTATTTCAAATAGACTTTTTGTAAGAACTTTTTAATTTGAGAGAATTTTAGATTTACAGAAGAATTGCTAAGATAGAACGAAGAATTCCCATATACCCTTCATTGCAACTTCCTTTAATGTGGGCGTCTGATATAACCATAGTAAATCCATCAAAACTAAAAAATTAACACTAATAAAGTATTATTAACTATAGACTTTATTTGAATTTCTCCAGTTCTTCCATCATTGCCCTTTTTTTCTGTTCCAGGATACCATGTCACCAAAAGAGTCAGCAGCCAGTGCCACGTAATAATTTTGTGAAGATTTGTTTAGTTAAAACTAGATGATATTATTTGGCATTCCAGTTCATCAAGAAGAGCTCACTGCAAGTGTTACAAGATGCTGAAAGCAGGGGTGGCTTTGTCCCTTTCTTTCCTGCTGTGGAATCAGGACTCTGTTTTCCACTGGACCGGAAATAAGGTTGGTCTAGCTTGTCGGCCGAATTAGGGGCCAGCCTTCGTATGTTTATTAAATATTGGGGAAACGTTACTTCTTCCTTGCCTTTCCTTTTTAAAGACAAAAATTTGTATCTGTAAAAATTCTCAAATTTCCTTTCTATAGCAAATGCCCCTGCTATAAAGAGAGGGCCAGGGTCTTCTGTACCCCCTGGAGCACCCACATCCCATTTTGGGGAACACGGCTCTATATTATATTCATGCTCCTTTGGTGGTCCAGAGAGTCAGCCCTAAACTCGTGCTCATATTCACAAGGGCTAAACTGGGAAAACTGGACACTTTCAGTGTCTTGTTCTGACATGTGCCTGAATTATGGTCTATAATAAACAATTATTGAGTAACCTATTAAGGCAATGAGTACACCCAAATAAATTTCTCCAGGAAGCACCTCTTAGACCATCGCTCAACAAATCGTTAAAACTTCTGGTACTTGTGGCAGGGTGGTGTGGGGAAAACCAGGGGTGGGGGCTGAGGGCCGATAGCCCTGGAGCACCGTGTCAGTCACACCACAAACTTGAGTGACTGGAAATTGAATCCTCGATAGCTATGTCATTCACTTACTGAAGGAACAGATAATGTCGTGGATACTGTTCTGTGCTGCCTGATCCCCCTTCAAGAAGGAGCGACTTCTCCCGCAGCTGCTGGGGATGTGCTAGAAGGCCCTTACCGTCGACCCCCTTTGGGGATTGCCTCAGCTGAAGAAAACTGCCTCACCCCAGGCCCACCTCCTCCCAGGACCAGCCAGCATCCAGTGCCCGATCGATGGGGCATGAAGGCCTGGCCCCTCCTCCCATCTTGGAGCAGCTCTGAGGGGCCATCCAGTTTCTGACTCCCCAGGGGTTGGCTTTGCTGGGAATCCATCGCAGACCAACTTCTCCCTCCATCCAATCCTGCTTCCCCCCTCGCCTCCACAGGAGCACCCCCTGACAGATGTTCTGTACGTGAGTCTCAGCTCAGAGAATCTGCTTCCCAGAAGACCCACCTGCCACACAGAGAAGTCAAACAAGCCAAAACAGTGTGCAAAGGAAAATAAGCACACCTGTGCTTGCGGATGCATCCAGAGATGGTCCTGAGTGTGTGAATGTATACGTATAAAAAAAAAAAATACATGTTTTGGGACTTCCCTGGTGGCACAGTGGTTAAGACTCCGCACTCCCAATGCAGGAGGCCCAGGTTTGATCCCTGGTCAGGGAACTAGATCCCACAGGCATGCCGCAACTGAGAGTCCACGTGCCACAACTAAGGAGCCTGCCTGCCGCAACTAAGGAGCCCGCCTGCCGCAACTAAGGAGGCCGCCTGCCACAACTAAGGAGCCCGCCTGCTGCAACCAAGACCCAGTGCAACCAAATAAATACTTTTTAAAAATGTGTGTATGTATATATGTGTTGGCCATTTTCTTAGAAAAATTGTAGCATCTTATGCTTTTTTATTTATATCATATTTTAAAATCTTAAAATCTATTTTTACATAGTGATACATAAAGTTTTAAAATCACTCGGGCTTCCCTGGCGGCGCAGTGGTTGAGAGTCTGCCTGCCGATGCAGGGGACGCGGGTTCGTGCCCTGGTCCGGGAAGATCCCACATGCCGCGGAGCGGCTGGGCCCGTGAGCCATGGCCGCTGAGCCTGCGCGTCCGGAGCCTGTGCTCCGCAATGGGAGAGGCCACAACAGTGAGAGGCCTTCGTATCACAAAAAAAAAAAAAAAAATCACTGCCTACTATGCCATTGTATGGACACACCATGTAATGGCCACCGTTTGAGTGCCGACTGTTTGCTGGGCACTCTTGCACCCTCTTCGTATTTATTCAACACCTATTTATGGAGAGCCTGTTATGTGGAGACACTGTTCTAGGTGCTATTCGCTCAGGCTTCACTTCAGCCTTAAAATGTAGCTCCTGTGATTATCCTGATTTTACAGAGGAGAAAACTGAAGTTTAAGTAACTTGCCCAAGGTCACAGGATTAGTGAATTCATAACCAGGCAGCTGGTCTCCGTCGCTTCAGCGTTTAACCCCCCCACTAGCCCCCTCCCCAAGCCCCCTCCTGATGGGTAGTCAGGCTACATGCAGCTGGCGGCTGCTATAAGCAATGCTGCAGTGAACATCTTTTCTCATGTGTCTCTGGGTGCCGTTTCCCCACTTGTAAAAAGCGCTGAGAAAGGGAAACAGGTGAGCTCATTATCTTACCGGATATCTGTTAGCAGTCCCAGGTCATTTTAAAAGGTGCCTTTCTCCAAAATTAGGGATTTAAGGAATCAAAAAATACTACGTTCCATTCTTAATATGAAAATCTTGGGCTAAGCCTTTGAAATACTTCCATGCTGGCCCTGCGTGTTGGATGCATATTTGCAGATAGGGTAATACCTGGATTACCATCACCAGCATCCCTGGTGGGAAATGGAATGTTTTTATTAAAATTTCTCTTGTTTGCGTTTCAGGAAAGAAATGAAAGCGGATCCACAAGCCAGGTCTGGTTTTAATCAGAGCCTAATCTTTATGAGACAACGCAAGGCTGAGAATTTTTTAATCTGATATTTTGAAAGAAAAATCCATGTTCCAAAATGATACAAACCAATCGGCCTTAGAAGAACGATGGAGAAAAGAAATCTCTTGCATAAAAGAGAAGCAGGAAATTCCAGAGAAGTTTCACAGGGAGGAGGGGAAAACCCAAGGTCTGTATCGCTATTTATGGTCTTACTTCTTCGTACGGGGTAATAATCTGGTTTTGTTGAACAACCGAAATTCGGTTTAGCGGGAATCACAGCATTCTGTCTCCCTGAAGTGAGAACATAACTGAACATATTACAAACCCACTCTGTGTCCCATGATCCATTGGCCCTTGAGATAAATATTTCGTCCTCTTCAGGGACTCTTCCCATTGTGGTCGTAGATCCATCTCATATTAGATGATTTAATACCTTAGTGATTTGGAACGTCTCTGTAGACATTGCTGAACTTTTTATATTTTCATGTACATTCCACTGATTGGGGGCAAAAGTTCCGATTGGCAGGACTTCAGGGTGGGTTGTTGAAATTTATAATCATTTTCATATAATGCTCGGCTAGAGGGGGGATAGTGAACTCTCAATCTTCCAATAAGCTGCAAAACTATTAATGGATTTCTAGGTCATGTTGTTCAGGCTTTACACTCAGTGGAATATATTTTCCATTAAATATGAAAGTGCTCCAAGTACGTTTTATACCAGGTGTGTTAACTTTACTGTTTCCTGGAGTGTCTGTAATTTCAAAATTAATCAAGTCTTCTTTTATGTGCTTTTGCATGAATTCTGGCTTTCTTTTGAACAGTCGTAATGACTCAGAGATGGAGACTAAAAATTGGCAAGAAAAAGCCAATAAAAGCATAAAGTCCAGAGTTTCAGAGAAATGAGATTTACCAAATGATATACAGTATAGTTCCCTCGACCAGAGATTTCAATGTTATATTTATTTGAAAGTGCCTCGTTTAGTGTTTATTTTTGCCAGTTTCATAGCAGGAATCAGATCACAAAGATTCAATGAGCAAATCAAACACCATTTTAAAATTCATCCTTGGAGCATAGGCGTGTCTCTTCTTATTCCATTGTCTTATCTCTTTCCAAAGCAAGACATTTAAATTTTTGTGTGACTAAAATCGTCACACGTCAGAATACCGTAGGACTTAAAACTCCAAATGTTTTGGCTTACACATTTCAATTTCCTAACTCCACTGCAAAAAGAAAAAGAACACTGGATAAATTAAAATAGCTGATGTCTTCCTATCGTTAGTCTCCAGTTATTCCTCTTTGCGTACATCATGCGTGTTTACTCGGATAAATACAATTGCCTTTTCTTCGGTTGCTTAAATCTCTTTGTCTACGAAAAGTAGAAAGAGCTCATCCATTATTTAAGTTACTATTTCTATAACTGAATTAATACACACATCTACCCGAGCAAAGAGGTTGACAGAGTGAAGGTCCGCACAGAGGTTCCGCTTGAAGTCCCACCTGATCTCTGTATGGATACGTAATAGTGAAAGCACGTTGCCAGAAATACCAGGTTTTAGTGCTATGATGATGGCGTAAATGATACTGTAAGAGGAAGAGACCCTCAAATATTTTCAACGTTTAAAAGGATGTTCTCCTAGTTTAAAAGATGCCTCTCTTACTCTCTTAATTCTCCAGGGCACAGAGCAGGAGGTCAGAGCTGTTACATTCTCCTTTGCTGAGTGTAGGTCAGGCTGATGTATATCGATTGCCCTGGATTTTTCAGTAGAAAAACTTGGAGTTTGAGCTTTCCTTCAAGTTATCAGTCCAACCTCACTCTGCCACTGCTTGGGTTCCCCCAACTTCAGTTTCCTGGCTGTGACCCCCAAGATTTACACTGGCCCCAGTGGCTGCCTCTGTGAAGGGAGGACGTGAAGCAGAAGAGAATTTCAGGGCAGCCCCGGACAGGGAGTCAGGGGAAAAACGTGAAGTTTGCGGGAAAGTAGGGTCAGGCCCTTGCCCCATAGGCCTCCACAGCTGAACCTGCGTTCGTGTATTTGTTTCATAGATGAATTGACATACTTTAAGAGAAGATGTATTCTCTTCTGAAATATTGCCTTGTACATTGCAGCTCATGGAAGATGGCCCTCTGTAGTGGTAAAGTGAAAAGCACACACACACCTGAGCTGTTGGCAACGTGTATTTTTGAAACAAATACATGGGGCTTCCCTGGTGGTGCAGTGGTTGAGAGTCCACCTGCCGATGCAGGGGACACGGGTTCGTGCCCCGGTCCGGGAGGATCCCACATGCCGCGGGGCGGCTGGGCCCGTGAGCCGTGGCCGCTGAGCCTGCGCGTCCGGAGCCTGTGCTCCGCAACGGGAGGGGCCCCAACAGTGAGAGGCCCGCATACCGCAAAAAAACACACACAAAAAAACCACACAAATACATGGTAGGGGGAATGTGGGAAAGAGAGAACAGAAGAACTGTTCAGTAACAGGTGTCCTGCTTAGAGAGGTTCATTTAAGGAATTGGCCCATGTGATTGTGGAGATGGGCAAGTACAGCATTTACAGGGCAGCAGGGGCTCAGGCAAGAGATAAGTTGCGATCGTGAGTCCAGAACCCACTGGGCAGGCTGGCAGGACTTGTGTGTGGAGTCTTGAGGCAAATTCCTTCTTCTCCCAGAACCCTCAGTGTCTGCTTCAGCTGATGGGATGAGGCCCACCCACATTACCAAGGGTAACTCCCTCCAGAGTCAGCCGCTTGTAAGTGTTGATCGTATTGACAAAGTGTCTTCACAGCAACATCTAGACTAACGTTTGAGCAAACAACTGAGCCCCATAGCCAGGCTGACACATAAAATTAACCCTCGCAGTATTTCCCCCATTATAAAGGAGGAGACTGGGGCTTGAAGAAGGTAAGAACTCGCTCGAGGTCAAACCACGAGAGTGAAGTAACACTGTGCAGCCTCAGTGCTTATGCTCGTAATCACAGACCCTGGCTGCCTGCTTAGGTTACTTGCTAACTTAGGGAAGACGCTCTAAAAGAGAGGCACTTGAACCTGGTGGGTTTTGATTTAAGGCAAGGGTTTGAAACACAGGGCAGACAAGATAGGGTAACAAGGACCAGATTTACCCTCTTGCCTGAAATGACTGGAAACAGAGATAATGTGTATGAAACAAGAGTCTGAAAGACCCTGGATATCGGGTAGAAAAGGATAGCGATCCTTGAGAGACGAGAAGCAAACCGGGGTTGGGGTGGGGGGCAGCCAGTTGCCCCAGCCCCAAAGGAGGGTTTCCAAGCAGTGGGGCAGAGGAGGGCACCCAGGCAGGTCCCTGTGATCTCCCCAAGTTGAGGAGACAGCTGAGAGTCTGGGGAGGCCAAGGTGGCTAGAGTTAGTGGGAGAAGAGGGGGCCATGTGGAGAAAGCCTCCAGAAATGTCCAGAGTGTCTCCCCTGAGGCTTCAGCTGACGACCTATCAGCAAGCGTGTGTGAGGAAACCCCCGAGGCTGGGGAAAGAGCCACCCAAGAGATAAAAGTAAATAATCTCCGGAGATAACACAGGGCCAGAGCAAAAGAGGCGTCATTCATGGAGATCCAAGTGTGTGCCTTGGTGGTGAGGCCAAATTAGACCTGGACCACATTCTCTGTGGTTCTGCCCAACAAACCTTCACAGCAAACTTGAAAGGATTGAACCATTTCCAAGTAATTTAACTGTGCTCCGGAGTTCGGAGTTCAAGAATAGTTCAAGCAATACAAAAACAGGTAGTACCCAGCAAGGTAAAATTCACAGTGTCTGGCATCCAATCTAGATTACTAGGCATGTAGAGCAACAGAAAATTTTGACCCATAATCAGAGGAAGAAATAAGCTCAGGGATACTGATACACAGATGCCATAGGTGATGGAATTAGTGGACAAAGATATTTAATAGTTATTATGTCTGTATTCAGTGTGCTCAAGAAATTGGAGGAAAGATCATGCATGATTAGCAGAGACATGGAAAATATAAGATACAAACTGAAATTCTATGAAAACTACAACATCTGAGACTAGAAACACACTGGATGGGATCAGAATAGATTAGACATGGCAGAGAAAAAGATTAGTGAATTTGAAGACTTAGCAATAGAAAGTAAATACAGTGAAACATGGAGAGAAAGACTGGAAACAATAAACTATCTGTGCACTCTGGGACAGCTTCAAGTGGTCTGATAATGTGTACTTGGAGGTCCTAGTCTCGGCAAACTAGGCATTGAAGGGAATTCTACTTGATAAAGGTTATCAAAGGAAAATGTATAGCTAGCCTCCTACGTGTGGTGAAGGACCGAACACCTTCCCCTGAAGATTAGAAACAAGACAAGGATGTTCACTCACCACCTGTATTCAGTACTGGAGGTTCTAACCAGATCCATTGATAAGGCAAGAAAAAGAAAGAAAAGCCATCTTAATTGGAAAAGAAGTAAAACCTTTTTTATGCGTTGATGACATTATCATCTGTATAGAAAATCTTATGGAACCTGCAAAAAAAGGCCAAAAGAACCAATAAGTGGCTTTAGGAAGGTTGCAGGATGTAAAATCAATATACAAAGATCTGTTATTTCCAAATACTACTAACGAACAGTTCGCTATTGACGTTTTTTTAAATTCCATTTACAATAGCATTAAAAAGTGTTATATTCCTAGGGATGAATCTGGCAAAACGTGATTAAGGTCTGCACATTTAAAACTATAAAACATTGCTGAGAGAAATGAAAGGCCTAAATAAATGGGGTGATTTACAAGTTTCATGGGTCAGATAACTCAATATACTGAATATGTCAAATTTCCCCCAAATTCATCTGTAGGAAAAAAAGCATTCCCAATGAGAATCCTTTCTGTATAAACTGACAAGCGGATTCTGAAATTCATTTGGAAATATAAAGAACCTAGGGGAATCAAAACAACTTTGAAAAATAGGAGGAAAGCGTTCATACTACGTTACTTTGATATTTATTATAAAACTACAGTAATTAAGGTACTGTGGTATTGGCATCAAGACAGATAAGCAGATCAATGGAACAGAATAGAGTAATTAAAATAGTATGATACTGGTGTCAAGACAGACAATAAGGTCAACAGAAAAAAATGGAGAGTCCAGAAATAGACTCACATCGATAAGGTCAATTTTTTTTTTTTTTTTTTTTTTTTTTACCTAATCCTTGGGTTTAAAGTTCAGGGCTGCAGGTAAGGGGCAGAGTGGCAAGGCTGGTACAAATGGTAACAGTGGCAAGGAACCCAGCTGTCATTGGCAGGAGCCTGTGCCAGGGTGTTGCAATGCCTGTGTCTTGCTATCCTGGCTCTCTCTTTCTGGTTTTCTTTCTTTTGGTAGGTGTCCTGTGGGATACACCGGAGACAGGTGTCAGCAGTTCTCAAAGGTCAACTTGTCTCATATGTCTCTTTACACAGGTGTAAAGGTAATTCAGAAGAAAGTACAAAGTTTTCAACTAACGCAGATGAAACAGTTGGATATTCTTATGCAAAAAATAATTCCAGTCCAATCCTGGCACTTATACGAAAAGTAAGTCAAAATAGATTGGAGATCTACCTGTAAAAACTAAAATTATAAAATTTCTAGAAGAAAACATAGGAGAAAATCTTTGTGGCCTCAGGTTAGGCAAAGATTTTTTTACATTCAACGGCAAAAGAATAATACACACACATACAAAATTGATATATTGGACTGCCTCAAAATTAAGAAATGTTGTTCAAAGGGCACTGTTAAAAAGTGAAAAGATAAGCCAGAGAGTAGAAGAAAATGCTTTTAAATCACATATCTGATAAAGAACTGGTATCCACAATATATTAATAACTCCCAAAACTCAGCAATAAGAAAACAAACAACTGTATTTTTTAAATGAGCCAAAGATTTCAACACACAATTCATCAGAGAAGATAAACAGACAGCAAATAAACACATGAAAAGATACTCAACATCATTATGCACTATGGAAATGTACATTAAAACCATAGTGAGATACTGTTGTGTGCCTATTTGTACGTCTATAGTTAAAAAGACTGACCCTGTGAATTGCTGGTTAGGATGCGAACGAACTAGACCTGTGACACACAATGTAAAATGGCACAAGTACCTGGAAAACAGTTTGACACTTTCTTAAATAGTCATAAACACACACTTTCCATAAGATCCAGGCTTTCTCCTTCTGGATATTTATCCAGGTGAGATAAATGCCTCTGTCCATACAAAGACGTGTATACAAATATTTATAGCAGACTTGTTTGTAATAGCCTTAATTAATTAATTAACTAATGAATTAAAAGGAAACCAAGCACAATCGAAATGGTTGTATCGTTAGGTGAATGGATGAACAAATTGTGGCACATCCTCACAATGGAACAGTACTTAGCAATGAAAAAGGAACGAACTGTGGACACATGGAAGGACGTGGATAAAGCTCAAAGTAATCATGCTGGCGAGGAAGCCAGAGAAAAATCAGCACAGACTGTGTGATTCCATTCATACCATAAACTGACCTCTGGGGACAGAAGGCAGGTGCGTGGTTCCCTGGATTGGGAGCAGGGGGTGGGAGAGTGATCGCAAAGGGTCAGGTGGAAAGTTTGGGGGGCTGGGCACGTTGGTCCCTTTGTGGGGCGGTTTCGTGGATGTACACGTATGTTGGCATTTCAAATTGCACACTTTTTTTTTAAAGAATTATTTATTTATTATTTATTTATGGCCGCGTTGGGTCTTCATGGCTGCATTGGGTCTTCGTTGCTGCACGCAGGCTTTCTCTAGTTGCGGCGAGCGGGGGCTACTCTTCGTTGCGGTGCGCGGGCTTCTCATTGCGGTGGCTTCCCTTGTTGCGGAGCCGGGCTCTAGGCGTGCGGGCTCAGTAGTCGTGGCTCACAGGCTCTAGATCGCAGGCTCAGTAGCTGTGGCTGGCGGCTCTAGAGCGCAGGCTCAGTAGATGTGGCGCACGGACTTAAGTTGCTCTGCGGCATGTGGGATCTTCCCGGACCAGGGATCAAACCCGTGTCCCCGGCATTGGCAGGCGGATTCTTATCCAATGCGCCACCAGGGATGTCCCCAAATTGTATACTTTTAAAACACACCGTGTACTGTTTGTTCATGATACGTGAAGCAACGTGGTGTTGGCCCTGCGACTGGAAGAGGCGAGACTGAGGCAGGAAGACCACTCAGGAAGATGCTGAGAAATCCAAATCGTCCTTACGCCTAGAACCCGCCTTACAGCAACCAGATTTACATAAATAACTCTAATATAAGCATAAGATCCTGGTCTGTTAGGGGTGAATTCATTTGTAGGAAAATAGGAGCTAGTAATGAGTTAAGTAAAGCCTAAGCCAGTACATTAGGGGGCTTTGGTGCTCCTTACAAAAGGACCCCTGGTTCCTGCTGCCCCGTCACCCGTCACCTGGGTGCCTTTGTGCAGTGCACAGGCCGCACAGCCATCCACGGCAGCCCTGATCCTATAGACCACGTGGTGTGATAGAAACAGCCCTGACCACCGAATCTTGGCTCTGCCATTAACCATATGGCCTTTGGTGAATCACCTAGAAGTCGTCATATCTTAGCTTCTTCATCTTGGATTCTGGCCCTGTGGGGCTTGGTTGAGATAAGGACTGTGGTTAGGCTTTCAAAACAGGCATGGGCCCATCAACCTGTTCTGACCAGAGGTGAGGGGAGAAAGGCTGGTCTGGAGTTCACCCAGAGAACATCCCCGGGCTCTTTATTCATCTTTATTAAGATGCGCATTAAGCTACTAAGCAGGGCTGTCTTGGATCAAACTGTGAGAGACGTGTTCCCACTTCTGTCCCCACTGCTACCTTCTGGGGCCTTTTGTGATGAACAAGCATCACACCCGGTTCCCCGTGTCACCCCCTCAGCGGCCCAGGGCCCACTGGGAATTCCTTCCCAGAGAGGTTTGCTGCCCTGAATTCCCGAGTCAATCCATTCCTTGCTTCCATCTTCCCGTCCTTTCGGTGTGTAGATCACAGCTGGGAGGAATGAATGTTACTAAATGGAGTCACGCTCAGGTTGGTATATACGACTAGGGCTACAGCTCTCTTAACCTTAACCTTTCAAGAGACACTTATTTTAAACGAGATGCTCATTTACTCCAAAGAATGACTTTCTAATGGTGGAATTTGTTATCAAGTAGCTAGCTCTTTGGGCATGGGATGGAAGGGGTGTCTCTCGAAACAAATCTCCACATTTAGTGCCGCCAGATCTCCAAAACGATCTCCAAAATGCTCAGCCATTTACGCTGACTTTCCAACAAGATAAGTTTCTTTCTGTATAATCATGTTTATATCTATTTCTATATATCTGTTACAAACTCTGCACAGGAAATAATGGAATCAAATGTGGATTCTTTTAACGTAAGAAACTGATACACTGATTGAAGGCTGCTGTCACAGTGTTTCAGATGCTGCTCGTGGCTGAAGTTCAAGTTGGTGTGTTCCAGTCATTTAGCTCGATACGCTTGTCAGTGGTCTAGAGGATGAAGTGAATGGCCGTGTGAAAGAATTTGCTGATGACACAAAAGTGTTTAGGTTGGTAAGAGCTAGGAGGGCTGTGAGGACCTTAAGATGGCTCTAATAAACTGGATGACGGAACAAACATGAAGACTGATAACGTTTTACAGAGAAGGCCCAAAGGCAATAGATACTGAAAGAAATCATTTAAGCTCTACATAATTTAAGCAGTACACACCGATGGACTTAGAATTTATGTTAGTTTCAAAAGGAAAAGACTTGCTCTAGGAATCAAATTAATAAAAACATTTCAGGAAAGCCATCTAATCTGCAGTGGTCCTGAAACAAGGGCCAAAAGAGTCTAGGTATGTACTCAGAAAATGCAGGGAAAGATACAGGAAAGCATGAGGTGGTTGGGACTGGGTACCGACCTAACAAGCCCCCTTCTGCCGACTTGGTCCTGATGTGTTCCTCCTGTTACCCTCAGCCCCAGAAAATGAATCAGGACCTGTCTAAACCAATAGTCCCCAAAGTATGATCCCCAGACTGGCAGCAGTGGGATGACCTGGCAACTTATTAGAAATGCAAATTTATTAGGCCCCATCCCCAATATACTAAATCAGAAATTTTGGTGGAGGAACACAGCAATCTGTATTTTAGTAAGCCCCCCAGAAGATTCTGATTCATGCTGAAGTTTGAGAACCACTGGTCTAAACCAGTTGTGATAAAATCCCATTCCCCTTTTTTGCCAATGAGTACATTAAGGTTAAGGATGAACTCCCTTCAGGTCATTGAGATACAAGTGAAAGTCTGCTGGAGGATTTTAAGAAAGGCATTTCTCTCGGATGAAGAGAGTAAAGACATTGCAGCCTTTGGCCTTAGTTCCGTGAAGATGTGATGTTTGGAGCTTCAGCATCCATCTTGTGGCTATGAGGAGGCATGGCTGAGGACCACAGAGCAAAAAGATCATGTTTTTGTGCCACTGAATGAGCCAACCTTCCCATGACTCGACATCCAGGATGTCTGGCTATGTGAGAAAATAAACCTCACTTTTGGTCAGATATGCTATTCCTCGCATCAGAAAGCATCCCCCCAAAAGCACATGCCTTTCTTCTCCACTGTGGTAGAGAGGAAGCAAACCTGAAGAGGTAAATGTTCAGAAATAGTGAAAAAAAAAACAACAACCCAGATCTCCGCCCTCTCACCCGAACACGAGAGAGCTACATTCCCTAACCTTAAAGCGAGTGTAGTTTTGAGCCTCTCCGCTCTTATATACTGTATTAATATAACAAAGATTTACTTTTCTCATAGTTATCTGTAAAGCATCTTTAGTAACAGAGCTATGTGCAAACATAAAAAATCCCTCCTGGGGTCAGCATACCATCCATCCAGTTCAGGGCCGTGTGACTGAAAGATACACTGGGAGGAAAGTTGGAAGGTGTGATCGTTCTTGATCACAACCTTGGAAAGTTAAAGTTGCACACAGTGCACTTTCATTTCCCCCGCATCCCGTTATGAATGACCAGTTATGGATCTGCTCAGCTCTCCACGTTGCTAGTCCTACTAGGAAGGAAGAGGTCACGCAGTGGACGCGCACCTCAACCCAAGGACCGCTTTCATGGGAAATAAAATGCCAAGACAGATGTATGGGTGGAAACCTACACTTAGAGGAGGCAGAAGGTATCTCCTGCTGACTGTGTCTTCACACCTCGGCAACACACATTCGTGGGCCTGTGAGCAAAGTCACAAGGAAGAGTGCAGAGTGCGAGACTCAGCCCAGTGAGTGCATCCTTTTCTGTACCATCCAGCTTAACCTCTGACACACTCTTAACAGTGAAGCGACTAACTGCAAACACAGGTGGGATTGTCATCATGTCCTATAGGTCAGGAAGACTGGGCTTTACAGGACTGACAGCAGGAGTTGTTCCAAAATCAACTGTCCTCCTCGGAGAATTCCCTGTCAGCTGTCAGAGAAGGCTGGCTCCGTTGAATTCAGCCCTCGAAGAGTGCAAAGGGGAGAGAAGAGCTCTCAGAGACGAAAACCAGACCCCGCAGGATTTTACGGCTTAAGACCAATACCTTCCCCTGCCCTCGGAGCCATTAGGGAAGCCAGCAGCATCTGGGGCCCAGATGTTCTGAGCAGATCTCCCTCTGGGCAGAGGCTGGCCTAGTCTTCCCTGGAGCTCAGAGCAGGTCACGAGAGAAAGGAGTCTTGCCCCGGCCAGGGAAGTGGAAGGGCAGCTCCTGGCCCGTCTTTTATCTAGGCTGGAGCCGTGAGTTCAAGGTTTCTCCCATTTCCTACCCTTGGAAGGCAAGGCAATTCCTGTTGCCTGGTGGAGTGGAGATAAAATGGGACAGGGGATGGGAAGAGCACTGACTGTGTGGCTTATAAAATCCCTGTGGCAGAAGACACTGTTGTGAACTCGCCCAAAGCTATTTCTCAGACTCCTTGGTAGCCAGGTGGGGTCATGTGACCGAGTCTTGGCCAATGGGATGTAGGTGGAAGTGAGTGACGTGCATCACTTCTGCGCCTGGCCCAGAAAACACACCTGGGCCGTCTCGCAATCCCACTCCCCGGGCTTCTGGTCACGTGCATAGGATCCGCAGACAAACCCCCAGCTGACGGGGATGGGGGCCCACCCGATGGAAGGAGCTCAGTTCCCTCATCAGCTGCACAGAAGGCCACCTGCCTAGTGGTCTCAGATGGTGCTGGAATGCAAAATAGAGCTCTGACTGCTCAACCGTCTCAGAGTTTGTTGTCCTATCAGGCACTGTTTACCCTACTTAATGCAGGCTTGGACTGTGTCCCAGAGAAAGCAACTGAGAGGGAGACTGGAACCTGGGGCAGGGGTGGGGAGCCAGGGGTAGCAAATACGTTTAGAGAGATGGCGCACAATGTCCAGGTGGCGTGTGGTCTGCCGCTCACTTAACGACCCTCCCTTATCAATGCTCTTATGCTGTGGATGAACCTCTGTGAGGCTGCCCGGGGGCCCCTCACCTCTGGCTGGCTGTCAGGATCTATACAGACAGCCAAGGAGGCATATTAAACAGACCTCA